CCACCTGCCTTAGCTGCACTCTGTGATCCTATCTACAGCTGGACAGCACCTGTCCGCTTCCTGTCCTTCCAACGATTTTTGTCCATGTCTGGACTCAGCTGGCTGTTCCCACCAGCCCCTTGCTGGTTCCTGACCGTGAGTGATGCAGCCAGAGGCACTTGAGGGTTAGCCCAGGGGCGCACACCCTGGTTGGCCCGGAAAGGAGCTTCGGATCCTGGTTTCTGGGTTTTGGTGACGTTGGAGGAACACCCCCAGCCCACCGTCCCCATTCCTTTCTGCTTCTGGTTTGGAGCTCTGGATCAGGGCCTTAGTCCTGATCGGTTTTAAATAATTATTTAACTGTAACTTTTAGACCTGTGCGACGTCTACAAAGCGTCCAATAAAGAAAGAAGAAGCCATGGTCCCTCTCTTGCTTCGTGGGTCTCCGGGCCTCCGCCGCCCCGCCCTGCAGGGCCAACATTCATTCCGTCCGCAAGAGCGTGGGCGGGGTGGGCGGGAACTGAAGACCAGTCCATAGGACCCGGAGGAACTCTCAGTTCCTTTTGCCGATTCGAAACTGCCTTAGGCCGGGGGTTCACAAACTTTAACATGCATCACAATCACCTGGGGGACTCGTTAGAGCGCAGGTTGCTGGGCCTTGCCTCAGTTTCTGGTTCAGTAGGTCTGGGGTGAGACCAGGAATTAACATTACTAACAAGTTTCCAGGTGATGCCGATGCTGCTGGCCTGGGGCCACACTTTGGGAACCGGTCTCCCAGAGCATGTTTTCACAGTGGTCCAAGGCTCTCCTGTCAGGCGTGACCTGTATCACAAGACTTGGGCCACTCGTTAAAAATGCGGCTTCCTGGGCTCCAGCCTGTCGATTCGATTCCGTTTGGTGGGATGGGGTTGGTGCAGAAATGGTCCGCCGTCTGCTTTTCACACTGAAATTTGCAAACCACTGTTCCTGGCAGGATACAGCGAGTTTTATTATTTTACCTGTCCGTAGCCTTAGTTTTCATTAGCACTGTCTAATTTACCTCCAGCCCAGGGCTCTGCATAGCCCGTCCGGACTTGAAGAGCACTTCCACCTTGTGCCACCGGTGGCCGTCCCTCACTCGACCTTGGAAACCTTGGCAGCCATCCTTGTGGGAAAACATACACGACCATATTTCAATGCTCATGGGACTTCAAGTCCCAGATGGTGTCTAAAGCCCCAACGAGCTCCCGACCTAATGGGAAAGCCAGCAAGACGAGAGAACAGGATGGCATACATCAGATGCTAAATTGTGACACATTAGGATACATGGAAGAGTTCAAAAGGGAGGGAAGTTTCCCAAAAAAACGGGACTGGTGCTCGAACTTGAATGATGAGGAGGACCTTCTCAGACGGCCATGACGTCCAAGAGGTGCCCTGGGCAGAGGGACAATAAGAACATCAGGTGAGAAGCCGCAGCTGAGCCCGAGGCCGGACGAGGGGCCGAGACTCCTACTGCACCCGCCGACTCCGCGGGGCCTGGCCTTGTTGCCTTGTGTCCTAAGTGGGGTCCGGAGCAAAATGGCCCCAGTCCGTCTGGGGAAGAGTGGTAAGGAGAGTGAGCTGTGGGACAATGAGGACGGAGACAGGCGATCCCACCTCGGCCACGGGAGGGCGAGGCTACCTCGGTCCCCCGCTAGTTATTTGGGACCCTGTGCAGCGCGCCTGAGGTGCCTAGGGGTGGGATGGCTTCAGAACTGGACAAATGGAAGTAGTAGGCTAGCCGGCTGGTCTATCCAAAATAAAAAGTCAATCTCAAAAATTTTAAGAATGCTTAAAAAGCCCACAAAATACGTACTTCTACAAATGCCTAAAATTAGCAGTGCCTTACTGTGGATTAAGAATTGTCCACCTGGTCCCCTTAAACCTTAGCCTGTGAGATGGAGCGGGACACTGGGAACTCAGTGAAGGGGTGAGTCTGGTGCGGAGCGGTCACTCGGGCTTGCCTCCCACCCTCCGACAGGTGATGCTCGTCTTCGCTGTTCTTCCCACTTCCTGATTCGGAAAACCCTCCTTTCCCTCCAGCTTATGCTGTTCGTGTGGCTCCGGTTTAATCAGCAGTTGAGACCCTGGGATACTGGCTCGCCCATAGGTGCATCCAAAACCCGCCTTTAACATTTAACTCTCCGTTTGACAGCCGCCTTTCTCTTCCCGTGGTTTGCGGCTAACATCCACGGGGACCCCACATCAACCACTATTTCGGGAGCATCCGGTGTTTCCTCCGGCTCCTCCGATCTTCCAAACCCGGCCCCTTCCCCGTCTGAACTCCCAGCTGTGCTTTCCGGCTGCCCACACCTCGCCAGGCTCAGCGCCTGCTCCGTGCTCTGCCTTCAGTCCAAGCCTCACTGCACTTTGCACTTGATTCCACTCTTAATTTCCACACCGTTTATCTTTCTCCCGTTCTTCCCAATTCCACATCCCTCCTCAAATCGCACCTATTCTACAAAACCAGCTCCCAATCCCCAGTCGTTCCGTGAAGCTGTCTCTGGCTGCTGTAGCCCTCGCTCGTTTTTCGTTCTTGAACTCTGTCCCCATCACACACTTCAGCTCTTCGACTCTTCCCTGTTTCCTGTGGACCAGTCTTGCTCCCTTGAGCTGTGTTGCAGGGCTCTTTGTGGGGAGCGTGCCTGCGTCCCCTCCAACTGTCCCCAGCAGAGCCGGTGAAGTGCAGTGGATGCTGGGTGGTCGCATGGCCAAGTGTGAAGTCTAACACCTATGTGATACACTGGGAGATGATTGGGTAGGGCTTGGGGTGGGGCGCGTTCTTATTCAGAGACAGGAAATCACTTGGGGGAGAGGAAAGAGCAATTAGTCTCAAGATTACCCCAGAGCATGTTCTGGATAGGTTTAGGCCAAGCCCCGCCCCTCCATCCCAGGTGCTGGTCCCCGGCCCCACCTGGCTGGCTGCTGCTAACCTCTTAAACGTAGCCGTGAGGAGCGGGAAGCAGCTGGAAGGAGGAGGAGGAGGATGAGCACGGAGCATGGACAGCAGCAGCAGCCTAGGGGCCGAAGGAGCCGTGGTTCCGGGGACAAGAAGTCCAGAAGGCGTAGCCGGCGCAAAGAAACCTACTCCATGTACATCTACAAGGTGCTGAAGCAGGTGAGGGCGGGGCCTGCGCGTGTGGAGTGTGCCGGCCTCGGATGGTTGCTGGACCGGATGGGAGCTGGGACTGGGTTTAGTCCCGGCACTGCGGCGAGTGGCCTCATGCAGGCTGTGCTGGCACTCGGTCTCAGAGGCCCCTTCCCCTCTCGGGAACAGTCATACAGCTGGGATGGGCAGGGGACATTTAAAGCCTGCTCCCCACCACAGTCTAGAAGCTGTAAGTGCTTTCGGACAGACAAGATGATCATGTGGAACGTTAGGTGGGACATAACTAAAAGGGAAGACCACGAGAGGGTGCTGGGCTGGAGGTGATCAGGTGCCCAACACATGACGGTACAAACAAGAGCTAGCTAGAGACGGCTCGAGCCAGGAGCGAGTCACTGAACTGAAGCCTTGGGGAAGCCTCCCAGACAAGCGGCACTCAGTCTGTGAGGGGCTGGTCTCCCTTATAGACGAGGAACCTGAGGTCCATAAAGGCTCAATGAGTTGCTGAATCACATGACCTGACAGCAGAGGTCATGGCCCCCTAGCTCTGGCCAAGCCCCTTGAATACTTCCTATTGGTCCCACCCCTAACCCACAGGTGCCCTCTCAATTCAGGCAGCCTACCAGCGCACCCATGAGACGCACCTCCTCCTGGAACTCGCATACTGACTGCCACCTGGAGCATTGATGGGCACCCAACCACCAGTGTGTCTGGAAGATCAAAGGCACCCGGCCGGAAGCTCTGCCCAGCTCAGCAGAGCCCAGCTGGGAGGAGGCGGGGTCGCTCCGTTGCCTGCCAGGTCCCTCCAATCTGCCTGAGATTCTCACCCCTCCATTAGGTTGGATTAGAGGTGGAGCCTGTCTCCAGCCTGAATCCCATTAGCAGCTTTAATGACCAGACAACCTGGTCTCTGGGCATGCATGGTGGCAGGGGGCAGACTGCCCAAAAGGGCAGCACCGGCGGAGAGACTCCAACATCCTGAAGAAAGTGGGGTGAGCGCGGGTATTAGTGAGCCCTGCAGCTCAGCCTGACTCGGGGCTCAACCTAAGGGTGGGACCAGGACGGGCCTTGAAGGGGAGAGCGGCTGAGCGAGTTACCCACACTGTGAAACACTGTCAGTGGCAGAGAGGCCGTTTGTCCCCAACAGCGCTGAGGAGAGCAGGAAGTGACGACAGCACAGGGGTTTAGGTTGCACCGACCTCGACCTCGTATGGGCTGTCAGTGGCGACCAGAGGCGTCTAGTTCTGTCTCCACCATTGGCTTGACGTGTGTCACTGGGGGGCCACTTATCTCTCACTTTACAGAGAAACACTTCGCGCCTGCCTACTCGCATTTTAGGATTGTTATCGGTCCCGGCCATTTGTTTCACTAGAGATCACCCAGTTCCAAAGCTGGTGACAGAAGACGACACCGAGGCTGAGGAAGGTGCCTGACCTGAGGTGACAGGGTGATTCACGGTCCAGCCGCAGACTCAGGTCTCCTGACTCCTCGCCTGGTGCTGACCCTGTGTCCCTGAGTGTGTGCTCTCTGGCAAGTAATTCGGTGAATATCTACCAAGCTAAGCGCGCACACCCTCTGACCTGGCAGCGCCCCCTCTAGGAACAGCCTTCCTTATGCTCACTGGTACAAACGTTCAAAGGTGTGTATCTACTGTAACACAATCTAATAGCAAGGAAACAAACAAAACCCCTAAATGTCCATTAGGAGAGGAATGGTGATCTGAACTGATTGCTCCGCACTCTGGAACACCGTGCAAACGCACGCACTCCACGCACAGAGCAAAAGGCCGTGATTCCCTTTGTCAAAGACGGACGCTCACATGGGCGGGTACGGGAACTTGATGGCGTTTACCTCTTGCAATCGGGAGAGACTTTTTCTTTTTAACCCAGATATAGGAGTATAAAAACGAATCCCTATTTTCATGTCTCTTGGCCTCTGGGAAGAGGCTGGTGAGGTGGCCTTACGGTCCTGTCTCTAGCTTCCTGCATCCCCAAATTGGAGCTGGGGTCTGCGGCATTAGGCAGAGCCTCCCCATTAACAGAGCTGCCCTGCCGTTTCTCCAGGTGCACCCCGACATCGGCATCTCTTCCAAGGCCATGAGCATCATGAACTCCTTTGTGAATGATGTGTTTGAGCGGCTGGCCAGCGAGGCCTCCCGGCTGGCCCAGTACTCCGGCCGAACCACACTGACGTCCCGCGAAGTCCAGACGGCTGTGCGTCTGCTGCTGCCTGGGGAGCTGGCCAAGCACGCCGTGTCTGAGGGCACCAAGGCCGTCACCAAGTACACCAGCTCCAAGTGACCCGGGGGCCTGACTTAAAAATAAAGGGTGACCTGTTCCTGCACACTGGTGATTTGAAAAATGGATGTGTGGAGGTGAGGTGTGATTTGGGGCAAGGGTATCGTCACTCTATGGCCACCAAGGTGAAATAATGATTCATATGTTGAAAAACCTGCTTTCTAGGTATACCCCATCAGTGACACATGATAAACGGTTGAACAGGGAGTGAGCTGAGGTAGAACTCGGAGCTGGATTAGCATCCTGGATATGCTGCCAGCTCTTTCCATCACGCTTTCTTTGGGCCTGAAATTCCTCGTGTTTGTTACTCTTTGTGATGCCATTTCTGGCAAACTCATTTCTGTCCTGTGCTGGGCATGGGGGCTACACAGATCCATTCTTCAAGATACACAAACAGGAAATCCCAAACCAGCTTCCCAAGAGCCTGCCAGGATCTGTAAGATGTTTTTTCTTTTCCTCTAACGTCTTCCCCTTCATTTCAGAACAAATTGGTGGGAATGTTTTTGAGACTCCTAACTTTCCTGCCCCAATTTTATTCTGAAAAATCTCAAACCACAGAAAAATCGCAAGAAAGTACAGTGACCACTCGTATGTCCTCACCTAGATTCACCACTTAACGTATGGCCGCATTTGCTGTCTCTCTCTCTCTCTCTCTCAGCCTCTGCTCTAGTGGTCATGTGACCCATAAATGCCGTCCCAAGCTCTGAGGGGCTGGGAGTGGGGTGGGATTTAGTGACTAAGTCCAAATTCCCTGTGCTCTCTGTAACTGGGCAGACTCGGCTTGCCGCCTTCGACGCCACGTGCTGAGCAGGCTTACCATGGCCACGGCCGACACCGCGACGCAGTCCTGCGTGCTTCGCACACACTTTCTCACGAAAGGCCTCACGTGGAGGTGCCCTGAGATGAGAGCCGATCACCCACAGCCCCCTCGCACAGCCTTAGAATGCTGAGACAATGGGACAGAACTCTTGAATCTGGGCCGTTCTGGCTTCGTGGGGTGCAGTCAGGATGGAACCACAGGGGGTTCTGTGGATTCCATGACCAGGTCATGAGTACTGGGCACCATGTCTGAGGGGTGAGTGAGGGGCTCAAGCAGAGCCCCCAGGGCTGGGAGAGCAAAGGGCAAAGTGCTTCTGGGGTCCCGTCAGGCTGGGACCGCTGGGTGGGGAGGGGTTCCATGCTGGGCCAGCCCCGGCCGGCACTGGCTTTCCCGCGGCAACCTGGTTGCCCGTGCCTGTGGTCAGCTTTTGCTCCTCAGACTTCCTTTGGACTATTCCAGAAGCAGGGCTCTGCTCTGGGGAAGGGACCGTTCTGCACAGCCGCCCCTCCCCCCACTCACTCCCGCCACCCTGGACCACTGCAGCACCCCTGGGCGTCACCCTCACTGTGTCTGCCGACTCCAAAAGGCCATGTCCAGCCTTCATTCTCCTTGCTTCGTGGCCCTAGTGGCGCCACCCCCCGCCCCCACCGCTAAGCCCCAGTGTGCTCACCGAAACTACCCGCTCGTTCCCCCGCTGGCGCCATGAGTAACCCTAACATCACACCTTCTGGAACCCCCAGTTCCCGCTCCTGAAAAGGCTCAGCAGCACCCGCCCGCACCCCCCACTGTTCCCACTGCTGAGCCCCAGAGCACCCCATGCATGCTGTCCCCTCTCCAGAGCTTACCAACGCCTCTGGGACTCCTCCCACGTGACGCTGCAAGAGCTGCTGGACCAAGAGCAGCCCCTGCTCGAACCCGTGCCCAACCGGGAGCGGGAGCGGCAGTCCTTCCAGTACAGGCTCTCCTCGCTCTACCTGTACTACCTGGGGCTGCTGCGCCGGTTCGATACCCTCTACGACCAGATGGTGCAGCCGCAGAAGCGGCGGCTGCTGAGGCGCCTGCTGGACGGTGTGGCGGGCCGCGTGCTGGAGCTCAAGGACGAGCTGGTGCGCGCAGACCTGTGCGAGAACCACTGTCTGGACCACGTGCTGCACGACCTCAAGCTCACCCCGGTGGGCGGCGGCACGGAGCCATGGCCACACCAGCAGAGGGGGGCTGGGGGGCCTTGACCTCCCTGGGACACGCCGGGTCTTGGCATATCTGCAAGAGAAGGGGGGCAAGCAGATCAGATCAGGGGAACAGCTTCAGGGAGCGGGGTGGGAAGTGGGGGGCGCATGCCAAGTACTTGGGGGTGGCTAGAGCGTCAGGCTAGGGTCCCTTGTGCGGCTGGGAAGATCCATGCCCCACAAGGGATGGGCGAAGAGTCCTCTAGAGGCTCGCTTCCCAAAGTGTGGTCCGCGGACCGGCCGCAGCAGCATCGACTAGGAGCTTAGTAGAAATGCCAAACCCCTGGCCGCACCCAGACCTACTGATCGGCACCTGCGTTTCTGGGTGATCTGCATGCACGGCAGGCTACGGAGCACAGGGAAGCTATACCAGCCTCCAACTGGCCCCCCAGGTCACGGTTCACTGCTCCACACCGAGGCAGTCTCAGTTCCCCAACCAGCTGCAGCAAACTAAGCTGTGGACTTGAAAAAACAGACTCTCCTGGCCCTGCCATTCCGATGCAGCAGTCTGGGGAGGGCCTAGGAGTCTGCATTTTAAGAACTTCCCAGCTGACTCTCATACACAGCCAGGTTTGGGACCACTGCCCTTTAGCCACCACGATCCTCCAGAATTCAACTCAGCCACATGGTGGGGACAAGGGAGAGAGGGATGACTGTTGGCGGGATTCACTCAGGGAGGAAAACAGCGCCGGGGTCTGTGTCAGCAGCTGAGAATGCTAGCGGGTGGGCCAGAGGGCCGGCCGGCTTTTGATTCCTGACGCTCCTTCCCCCGTGTCACTCCAAAGGCAGACCTGGAGGTCCCGATCCCCAAATACTTCCAGCTGGAGCAGTCCAGCATTCTGAGGGAGCGAGGGCAGATACTGGCAGAGATCCTGTCCAAAATGGAAACGCTGTCCCTCAAGGAGGTAAGTCAAGGAGACACCCCCCAGGCCCCGGCGTCCGGAGCAGAGATGCGGCCCTCCAGGACACAGAAGTGGGCCCTGTCCTGCCTGCACCCACCTCTTCGGGTAATCCCTGGCCTCCTTCAAGGATGTTCTCCTGTCCGGCATCAAGAAAGAGGGCCCGGACTTGGGCCTCGAGATGCCCTGGCAGGACTGTGCCCCCAGTGTCCTTTGGTGGCTGACCTCCCAGCTGCCTGCATGGATGCAAGACCTCCCGTATCGTCTTCTGTCCCTTTGCCTCTGCTCTGGCCAGAGCTTTCTGGAAATGCACCGGACCGACGCCATAATCCTCCTGCAATCGGCTGAGCGGGCCAGGCAAGGCCGGCTCCGAGCCACCTTCATGCGAGAGATTCGGAGAGAGAAAAAAAAGATGAGGGAGGACGGGCGGCACAAGTTCAGTCAGGACCAAGCGGCTATCACCATACAGAAGGTAACCCCCCAGGGCCCAGGAGGAAGAGCAGGGCGGTCACCTCCTCCAGGAAGCCTGCCTAGCTCAGCAATTGATAACAAAAGGGCAGGTGCTTAGATTTGATTGCCCCACACCGGATCCTAGACTAAGAACCTTTATCAGTCGATGACTATCTATATTATTCGTTATTATTTATTCTACATCTCTGTCTCCAAAAAGACTTAAATGGGAGACCATAAAACCCCTAGAAACATAAGGATCATTAAAACTAGGGGGGAAAAGATCTATAATAAGGCAGCAGGACAGAGTGGATGGCCACTCCAGAAACTCTTAAGGCTGTTAAAAATAAGTCACTAAAATCTACCCCGAGTCTCCTGGCAGCTGAGACAGAAGGAACCATGATGAAGAGGACAAATGTGACCCACGCGTCCTCGGGATCTGTGCCACCTGGGGTCACTTTAATATGGACATGACATGACCTCGCACCCCATCCTGCCTCACTGCAGAACACGCCGTCCCGTCCCTAGTGGTCACTCCACACCTCTCGGTCCCTAATGTCCCCGAGTGTGTGAGCCTGGCCCCTTCTTCATTGCTCAAGAGGCCACTGACACAGGCCCACTCTGGGTGGTAGTGGCTGCCAGCGTGACGAGGCTGCAGGAAAATTTCGGTGCAGGAAGGGGCCACTTTGCTCCTGCAGCCATCACCGCTCCTGCGGCCCACTGTCCCTGCTCCACCCCAGGAATTCACCTGGCGCCTTTTCTCTCCAGAAGTGGGCCCAGAATGGCTGGCGTAGCTCTGTGTCTTTCTCTCTGGTATCAGCCTCCTCTTCTATCTTCTCTCTCTCAAGTCTCAATGCCTCCAAAGCTTCTGTCTGCTAGCCCAACAGAGGGAACTTAGAACCACTTTCTACCAAAAACCAAAAGCAAACCAACCAACCAACATCAACCCCGAGAACAGATACCCTCCCCAAATGGAATAGATTTTGGTTATTGATCAGTACGCAGCGTCCCAATCTGAGCCCCTGCATTTGGGTGACTGAACCAATGTCCAACCACCCGATGGAGGCAGAGGAAGCCCTTGTCCACAGGACTCACCAAAGCGAGCCCTTTGAGAAGAGAGTCGGCCCCAAAGACAGAGCCCCACTTCCCCTCCGGGGAGCCAAAGCAAGTCATTCTGTCCCTTGAAACCAGACTTCAAGGGTATGGAAATCCTGCATTCCAGCCTTGGGGTTCTCCAGCACATACACTAATCAAAGGCCATTAAGGGCGCTGAACGAAAAGCACTTAGTTACTAGTCCCAGCAGCAGGACTAGAAGCCAGAAGCCAGGACAAGAACCTGCTCGCTGGGGCAACGTTAGAGACTGGATGCTGCCTGGCGTGTGCTGTCCCTGCCTCGCTTTGCCCAGGGCCCTGTCCTCCACTCGCTAGCACCAGGCCGTCCCCAGGTCTGAGAGCGGCTAGCCGCCTGGGAGAAGAGCACCAGGCGAGGGGCCGGGAAAGCCGGCCCCGGTCTCAGCTCTGCAGGGACAGTCTTCGGGCCTGGGTGAGGCCATGTGTCGTCTCCAGCCTCGGTCTCCTCACGTCACAACTGTAGGAATTAATTAGGGGAGCTCCACAGTCCCTGAGGCACTGATGACCGGTGGAATCAAGTATTGATTCCAAGTGCTGTGCGAATTCAGACACGTGAGACAAGATGGTACTTGAACTCTGGGCCTCAAAAGGCACTGTGGAGTCGAAGGTGTTGATGAGGAGGGAGTTTCTGGGGGCCCCTGCAGCTGGGCTGTGCTGGCGCACCCCCACCCCGCCCTGTCCGGGGCTGTTCCTGCTCAGGTGTCCATGAGCTGCCCGCCTCCACAGGCCACCCCAGCACTCCTACCCCACCCCACACCCTCAAACCTCCCCTGGCCAGACCTTCCAGGGAACGGACACCTGGGCCGTGTGTCCCCCCCAGGTGTGGAGAGGTTACCTGCAGAGGAAGCGCACTCTGCAGGACCGGCAAACAGAGATGGAATTCATTGGCATGGTGAGTCCCTCCCTGGCCACTGCGGGGGGCACAGGTTGGCCAGCGCATGGGGCCTCTCCCCTCATCTTTGTCCCTCCGTGCCCCCACCCCAGAGCGTAGCCTCGTACAGCTGCTCACTGTCGACACCACCCACTGCTCAACTGTGGGGGGTGTGATGGAGGGGTGCAGGACGGTGCGGGGGGCGGGGCGAGGGACTCTTCAGGCTTTAGTTGAGAAAGACGGGGAAGGACCAGAAAGCCACTGTCTAGCCAGGTCCCCTCTTCCCATTCTCTCTCCTACAGCCCTTAGAAGGATCTCAAATATGGGTGTGGGGTGAGGGATAGGAGCACGGAGCGTCCTGCGCTCCAAGTCCAAGCCCCTGGCAGGAGGAGAGGGTGCACGGTTGGCTCAGCCAGCGGAGGGAGGAGGCCAAAAGGCCAGTGGGAGGCTCCTGCAGCCTCTGGGAGAACCACAGGGGGCCTGAGCTGGGATGGGGTACCCTCATCACACCAGAGCATATCGGGGGGTCATGGGCTCCCCACTTGCTCTGGGGGCCCCAGGCTCACTTCTCCTCTGTGTCGGGGAGCAGGGATCGTGTGAACGGCAGGTGCGAGGGGAGGGTGGGGGCTGGAGCCTGGGGTGTGCGCACAGACCTGCGCCCTGAATTTGTGTGTCCTCTGCTGTCTGACGCTTCCTTCACCCAGCCAGTCTCCACGGACTTAGGACAGGAAGGGTGACGGGGGTGAGGGACATGATTCCTGGGAGGAGCCTGGCAGTGGGGGCCGGGGGACCAGAGGGGTTGGAGGTAAGGGCTGGGGTGGTGACTCCGGAAGGCTTGGGGGCTTCAGAAGGAAGCAGGGCCCAGAACCCATCATAGGAGTGGAAGTCAGAGGCTTGCTGGGGGGCTGGGGAGCTGGACCCCCAGGAGGCCGGGTAGGGCCTTGGTGGGGAGGAGGCAGGGGGTGCATGGCACGGCGGTGGGTGAGGAATGAGCCGGGCCACCGGGCCCATCAACAGTGTGAGCTCAGCGTTTTCAGTAATTGTCTCTGCGCGGAGTGATATTTAAAATACATTTGGGAGCCAATGAGGCGGGAAAGTGGCTACGAGCGCGGCTGCCACCGGCGGCCGGGCGGGGAGTGGGTGGGGGCTG